GTAGGACTGCCACAACTTGTCATTTCTGTCTTTAATCTGTAGTCTAGATACCCTAAAACCAAACCTGATGGCTTATGTCTATCAAAAGGTGAGCAGATTCTGAGGGGAGGGGGGTTTGGAGTAAAAGCATGAGCTTTTATTTAAGGCACTGGAAGCTTATTTTGGCTGTTCAGGAGATATTTTTATTTTTCTCTAGTTTAGAACTCTGTTTTAGAGAGTATAGAAATTAGAAAATGAAATTTTGTATGAATGAGTTCTAACATTTCAAATTAAGTATGGGATATGTTTGTGGGTGAATTCACTGGATTTAATAATACTTATCACAAATGCCCTGGGGCTCTTGGCTTGCTGTGTATCAGGATACGCCAATTTCATAGATCCAGTTTTTAAGACTCCAGGCGTCTGCTGGTTTCACAGATGTCAAAACAATATCACACACCACAAACCAGTGGCTTACACACAGACTTCAGAGCAAAAAATAAATAAAATCAGTCCAGGAATTGAATACAGAGCCTTCCATTCAGCCTCCAAGTCTAACCCAGAGGTCCCCTCTCATCTCTTGAAAAGTCACATCTCATGGGTAGGAGGAGGTATGTACCACCTTGGCCTGGGAGGACCGCAGGTGACTCTCGTGTGAGTGGAATTCTGTCCTGGGACTTACCCCACCTTGCAACCTTCTCAACCTCAGGAGCACATGGGGCAGGCCTCTGCTGGGCACAGTGATGGACTGCACAAAACTGCCCAACTCTGGGTCCAAGTGCAAAAATATAAGCCAGCAGGTGTGGATTATCATTTATACCAAAGTCCCAGGAGTATGGGGGAAAAGAATAGCGGGATCAGTTTAACTGTCTCCCAAGTGTTTTCTGTGCTGCTTACAGCAGGAGTGGGCAAAAGCATGTGGCCATGGAGCTGGGGATGTGGCTTAAGCGGTAGCGCACTGGCCTGGCATGCGTGCGGCCTGGGTTCGATCCTCAGCACTACATACAAACAAAGATGTTGTGTCCGCCAACAACTAAAAAAATAAATAAATATTTAAAAAATTCTCTCTCTCTCTC